TTAGTATTTAATTTTCTGAATATTGCTTAATCTTAATTTTTAAGATTTATACTACATCTTTGACTTACAATTTATTTAAAAGATATTGTATGATATCTTTTCCTAGTATTAGAAACTTCAAAAAGTATATTTCCATTTTCTGTTGACTTTATGTTACTTCTTCCCTTTTATACACACATACATGGAAAAAAAAATACATGTATAACCCAACATAAGATTGGTGCTGTTTCATAGAAATCTGCAATGACCTTTAAATAAGGGTTCATCTAATATATTTTTTATATGTCCTGCATAACATATTGAGAGCTCTTTATTGTTCATCCAAGAGCATAATGCAACTTCTCTTGCCTTTTGAATTATGCTTTGTTATTCCCTATATGCTACTTCTGGAGGTATTAAAATATTTCAAGTTTGTATAACTAGAAAATCTTACTTTTAGTTTTCAAAGGTATGTTTGCCAAGTATAAAATTCAAAGAGAACAGATCTTTTCTTCCAGTCCTTTAATTAATCTAGTTTCTTACACCCTTGGTCCCTTTTTTTCTTTCTAATGTGGAATAAGATGCAATTTAATTTTGTTCTTCCATAGCTAGTATTTTTATGTATATGCTTTAATGATTTTTTTCTTTACAAGAAGTTTTGGACAATTTCATTTTTGTGTATCTTGGTATGATTCTATTTAAATGTCTTTGCAAAACGTTCGTTTTTCTTGGAAATGTGGTATAAGTTGAACTAAATTCAGAAAATTTAAATCTTTAAAAAAAAAAAAACCAACAACATCCTATTGTGAACACTAATCAATAAACAGCATTAAAAAAAAACCCAAACAGATGTAAGAGATACAACAATAATTACAGAAAGGTATAAGTCCTCCAAGCCTGATGGAGAGGACTATACTGCTCCTCAACTGGAAATCCTGACCATGAGTGAGTCCTGGACGGGACTTTGGACCCTGTGAGTTTGTATATAAAGAAGAATAAAATGGATATCTGGTTATTAGAAGACTATATTCAGGCAAATACTGGCTAGATCCTTACCACACTAATTTGCTTTTCTTTCTAGGGAAACAAGTCACATTTTCCAGCTCAGGCTGGTTACCTAGATGCACTGCTGCTTATCAAAAGAATGACAGCTGAGGGGATGTGGCCTTTCTGTACTTCGAAGACTGAAAGAAAACCATTCTTCTCCTTATTGATTCACTGGATGATGCCTTGCCAACTTTAAAATGACAGGCTGGTAATGAAAGCAGAGGAAAGGCCTGCTAGGCTCATGTTTTCAGTCCACAGGGGACCAGCTGCAAGGCAGGGAAGCTGGCAGGGTCTATGGAGAGCGGCACCCTTCACCCTCATGGTGGCTGGGCCATGGTGTGGGGTGCAGCTTCAACCTAACCACGGGGAAGTACACGCTAGGGTGATGTAAGCAAGGGAATTCTTTTCGCTATTTAGGAACTAGAATTTCAAGGATCACCTGTTACAGCTAGGATTACTTATCAGCTTTACAAAGGTAGGTTTGTAAATATGTGCACTCAAGGTTATACTACTGACAAATCTTTCTTATATATGTTTCCAGCTTTTAAGTACAAACATAAAAATTTAGAATTCATATCACTAAAATGATTTCACTTATAACAAAGACACAAGATATATAAGATAGTTGCTTCAGTAACATTAACATACCCCCAAAACAATGACCAGCAAATACAGTCTCCTCTTTAAAAATGCCGATTAGCACTACGTACTTGATGTCAAAATATTATTCACTATTCAAATACTTTAATATGTATGGACCAAGGGAAGAATACAAGTCTCAGGAGTCAAGTTGATGGGTTTTAGTATAAACTTAAGCATCATTTGCTTTCACTAATACAGATGTGGATAATGACAGGAAATCACTGCAAGTGGACTCACATGCTGAGGACATCAGGGCTCAATCTGTCTCTCCCAAAAGCACAAGTGAGAAGGTGAGCAAATGACCAGATGAATGGACAAAGGTCTGCTAAGAGAAATACATCTAGGGCAGCACAGATCAGCCCAGATAAGTGTGCAGGCACAGGGACCTCCTGTCTTCTCTCGTTACAATCATATGATCTTTGACTATTATTTTAACCTTAAACTTCAGTTTTCTTGTCTATGAAACAGGGAAATAATGGACATTTATGGAGTTATGAAGAATTAAATGAAACAATGTATGTAAAGAACTACGCCCAGCACCTGGTCAAAGTAAAGGGGATGGATGTGAGCTTTTCTCATCACCATCTGGTTCTTGTAAGAGACCCACTGCTAATTTGGCTGGATCCAGATTCAACATTTTAATAATTAAGATAAAAAGCGTGTCTCTGGTGTTGTCATGTGAGAGACACGATGTGGCACAGCTGTGACACTGTAAGTGCTACATAAATGCAGAGCTGTCTATGACAGGTTACTGTGATATACTACTCTGACATAAAGCACTACACTGCATGAAGTGGGAGGGTTTTTATCGTCAGTTTCTCTTGTGACCACAGATCTCACCCTGGGAGAACAATGGCCAGTCTATGAATAAGTCTAATTAACTGGTTAGCTCACAAAAAGCAAATGATTCATGTAAGGAATAAAATGTGCATTCCCTGTCATTGGGAATCAACTACTCAAAACTGAAGAGATCAGATTTTTCAGTGAAGAGCATTAGACCTAATTAATAGTAGCAACATTTTTAGTAGTATTTAAAAAAAAATAGTACCAGATGAATTAATTCAGTGACTCACAGGTAGATGCACACAATCAAGAATTAGTTATTAATCAGTCACTAGAATAAAACGGCACAAAACAAATGACTGCAAAAGTTTCCAATAACGAATAAGAAAATAGAACCTATAGTCAATCAATCAACCCTGCACAATCCTTTCCGAAAAGACTATACCTTAGAGGTTGTAAGTCAAAACTGACTCCAACGGAATCTATTCTGATGGGTTTCATTAAGTCCTCCACTGTGGGCAGATCTAGGAGGAAAAAATGTTAAGTGTAAAAACCAAAAATGTTATGCAAAATGCTTAATGGATGTGTACAGTATCGTTAGAATTACATTTTCTCCGACACAGTTAACAGAAAAGCAGGTACAGTGACCAGGCTTCCCATCATACACTTGTTTATACCAAGGGCATCCTTTGATATTTATCAACATCTAATACGTATCTCAAATGTCAATAGCAAGTATTTACACCCACCCAACACAGACATTTACTGAACACAGTACAGGACAAAACACTGTTCTCTATGAAAATACTTTTTTACATACATACCCGCAGAGAGTAAAAATGTTAACTTATGTGATTTATTAATCTGGTTAAAGTATATTAGAAGAAGTGAGATTTTATCCTGTGTTCAGCTCTCACATTCCATCTGAAGCAAATCCTATTTAAGTGCAGGGATGAGAATAACTACAGCAAATGTATTTATAATACTGGAAACTGTTTGCAGCGGGTCTCAAACATTGACAAATTCTATTTATCAGCTTTTACCAGATTCAGTAGTAGAGATGTGCTTTGAAGACTCCTCGTTTTCCTGAGGATGGTCATTCACTGAGCTCTTCATGATTTCCACCGTGTTACTTTCAGTTCTGTGTTCATCTACATCTCCCAAAGAATGAGCTACATGACAATAGGCCTGCTGCAGGGCTTCAATGTCACTATTGCTTTGTCCATAAGAAAAAGTTGCTGAAATAAATGTAATTCTTAGTGTAATTACATCGTAAAAACTGAGAAATCTCTAACATCCTAGCATTGCTTTAAATGGTTAGGAATGACAGACAAGGCTCTATCTAGAAACCCTGGCAATTCACGGCTGTGGCCTCCCAGCGTGAAATCACAGCAGGCCCTACAACTCTTCTTAGCAGGGAGATGGGTCTTGATGTGCTAAGTGTGAGGTCCAACCCTACTACTGTCCTATTATCCTTAACTGATCCACACGGGATAAAACTTTTCTTACAGCCCCCTCAGTGACACCATCCTTTGAATGAGTCTATCCTTCCTTACTGTTGCTCTGCTTTCCTGAACCACTCTGTGCTATGCTATGCTGTACTGTAATACTTTTTCAACAGCAATGCATTCCTTTAACTTTGCACTGGAGTTTGTATACCAATATCTTGCCAAAGTTGCTGCAATCAGAAGCAATTTTTTAATGATCAACTTTTTTTATTTTTATTTTCATTTTTTTTGGCAAAACCGGGGATTGAACTCAGGCCCTTGCACCTACTGACCTATCTCCCGGGCCCCTGACCAACTTTAGTTCTTGTCAATTCCACGAGACGTGACAGTATCTCTTTCCTACTTGTCTTCTACATCCACTCTATTATTCTTACCTCTTGCTGGTTTTTATTATTCTTGCTGGTTCTCAGTTTCTTATGGCCAGTGCTCTCATTCTAGGGGTATGCATTTAGCCCTCTTTATAAATCCTTTTTACCCTAACCTGCCTAATTTAATACAGATCTGTAAACTTTGTATTATAGTAATTTCCTGGTTCACAAATGTTTCTGCTTGCAAAAGCATTCAGCAACATTTTGCTTCCATTCACAATCTTTGCATCAGGTGACAAACACAACCATTGCCATCCTTCCCACACAAATACAAACCCCACCATTTCCCAAAAATAGTAAAAAAAAAAAAACTAAGTTCATAAAGGTACCACTGTACTCATAGTTTCATGTTTCCCAAGCTGTCTTTTTTCTTTATGTAACCAAAGTCTCTAACAGACATTTAGATTGTCCTACAAGTAAATAGCACCTAACATATTCCCAACTAAATCCATTATGCTCCTCACCAAAACTTGTTCTCCTGTCCAGATTCTGTCTTAGCTAATGGCACCACTACATATGTAGTTGCCCGAAACAGTTAATGACACTCACACCTGGTCTTCCTAACTCATCTTCTCCCACTAGCAGATGAATAAATTCCAGAAAAACAATCTGTACAAACTAACAACAATAAAGACACCAAATATTTAGTAGTTCTTTCTTAGTCGTTTTGAAACTTTCATTCCTAACAGTGGAATTTTCAAAATTGAAGAATTAATCATAGAAGAATGGAAAAAAGAGAAGTGACGAATCTCCTCTTGACAATCTGACTAGCACTTAAAAGTAAAGGCTGGTACTGCCTCCTTTTCCCCTATAAACACTGCAAATTGTACAGGGTACAACTCTAAGTAGATTTAACTCGAAATGTTAAGAGGTACTCAGCACCAAATATGAGTGAGAAAAATAAGATGTTTCTTTGCAGCAAGAGCTTCCGGTACCCAAGGCTACTTGGAGTATACTTAGTGAATTAAATATGATGACATAAACTAAAAGCAAGAAAGTACAGTGTACTGTTAGAAAAGAATTGCCAGCAGGTAAGGGGCAGGGACTTGAGGACTTGAGAAGAAAAGGTGCTGCCTGTCAAGGTGCGCTTAACTAGACTCCTCACTACCAGCCAGACTCAGGACAGCACAGCTAAAGGAGAAAGGCGCAAGCTGTTTTCTCCCCTCTGCACCAGTGCCACAATGCCTAGAATGTGCAAAGCAGGCATAAAAGAACTGAGGTCAGTGGTAGGCAGAATAGTAGAACGCAACACTCAGACCTAATGTAACAGGTGTGAGGTGTCAGAAAGAGGAGATGGCATTCTTTAAATGACCTGGAAGTTAGGAATCAGAGCGAGGGTAAGTCTCAAGAGTTACCAAGAAAACCATGAGGAAAGCTACTTTTTTCGTAACTTCAGACATTAACCCAAGCTGTACTATAAATAATTCTACAAATCATGTAAATTAACTCTTCTCATGCATTTTATGAAAAAGGGCTTACTTGCCTGCCCTTTAAATGAAAGCTCCTTATATTTTCAGCATTAGAAAGCTGAGAAAGGGCAAATCCCACTTTGCCAAGGGAGCAGTTTCACGAAGCCATAGTCACTGTGACTACTTCAGACCAGCACAAAATAGCGCTCTCCTGGAAGTCAAATAGAAATAAGGGAATGCCAGCTTTCACCTGGTGAGCTTTATTTTTGTACTTAATAACTTCTTTAATACAACACAAATTATTCTAGAAATGATACTATGAACAAAACATGTGAGGATAAGCAGCCTGCTTACCATTAAGAGAAACATGGTAAAGCAAAATAAAATAACCCCACTAAACTTGCCAGTTCTACAAAGTTCCAGCATCTACAGGTGTGCTTTTGAAATAGTATGGGGTAAATTTTATACCTCACCAGCAAGTGTCTATGCTGTATGTCTTGAGGTTTTTTATTATAGCTTGAGCTGCTAATAGAGGGTTACAAATAACGGCATCCGGCTTCTACTTCCTCCTTTCTGAATCTCAACCATATACTGGAAACTGTGCACCAAACTTGCTGCCCACTATATAGCCTCATTCTAAAGAAATAGGCGTTGAGGCACTGGATGTCCAATGTCACATGGCTGACAAGTGGCGTGGCTTGGAGGAATTTCGATTCCAAGTCTACAGGATGGTAAAGTCACACTTTAATACCTGCTAATAATTCACTAGTCAAATTATTTCAGAGTCAAGGGTATTTAAGAAACAAAACCAAAAAAGCTACATGTAGCTGGGATCATCGCAGAATTACTTTATATTCTGTGGCCAGCTCAGCCTGCCCTGGGGGCAGGGCTGGTGTAGCACGTGGTCCCTGCACTTCCCTAAGCTTGCCCAAGAAGGCATTAGACTGCTGAGCTATCTTGCTGGTCCTCAGAATTTTTTTTCTTTTTTGCGGGACTAGGAATTGAACTCAGGCCCTTGTGCTTGCCAGGGAAACACTTATTCAACTGAGCTATCTCCCCAGCCCCTCCTCAGAATTACTTTCAAAAATACAGGTTCGTTTCTGACTTTTTCTTATAACTTCTAGCAGTAGTTTTCCTAGTTTCTCAAAACCATAGCTTTTTATAAAAAAGTTATAGGTTCCATAGTTGTTTGATTGAAGTTGGAATTTCAGTCATGCATTAATACTTAAGAACTGTACTATAACCTTATCTACACAAACAGGTCACGTATGTAATTTTAATATTTTGAAGATGTTAGCAATAATAATGTTTTGGACAACTTTAACTGTTTTCACATACATCTTAAAGGTTTCTCTGGTCATCCCATACATATACTTTTTTTTGTTTTTTTGGCAGAACTGGGGATTGAACTCAGGCCCTTGTAATTGCCAGGGAAGCGCTTATTCCACTGAGCCATCTCCCGGGCCCCCATACACACATACTAACATAAATTCTAGTGCACTACTGATTAGGAAAGTTGTAGCACTACATGGGTCTTTTAAAAAAGCTGACACATGCTTACCACATACCGCACATCTAGACAGATCACCACAGTGATCAGATATCACACACTGGACAAGTCACTGTATTGTGGTATTCTTTTGGTTTTTGATTTAGATGCTGATTACAGGGCTATGTTCAGTATTTAAAAATTCATCAGGGTTCAGTATGGCACAAACTTTTATACTGGCATAAACTACTTCAATAATAAAATAAAAAAATAAGAAGCTGAGGTATAGGTTGGTTAGTGAGGCCTATCAGTTTTATTGTTCAAGTGTGTGAACCAGTTCAGTTGGGTAGCGTCCTGAGATTACAAAGCAAGCTCATCAAGAAGTTTTTATCTGCAACTCGTGTGGTGAATCAGGAATATTTTAATACACAATAAAAAGAAAATAAGACACAGCAGAAGGCTGCTGCTGCTGTGAGAATGAGCCACATCTTCAAAGGGCCTATTATTCTAATTTTATAGGTAAAGCGGGGCATGGTGGTGCATGCCTGTAATCCCAGCAGTCAGGAGGCCGAGCCAGGAGGATCCTTACATGTTCAAGGCCAGCCTGGGCTACACAGTGAGTGAAGCCCCGCTTCAACTGCACAGCAGACCCTGTCTCAAAACAGACACAGTAACTCGCACAGTTTTGTAGGTAAATGTGACCAATGTGTGCTAATACATACTCACTCTGCTAAACCATTTCCAGCAATATACAATTCTATGTATAATTCAATCACACAGAAGGGTTCCACGTGCTTTAAAAAGCACGAGTAGCAAGCTTTAAGAAGAGCCCTGGTAGTCTCAAGTACTTCAGAACTCTGAAACATGATCTAGCTTTTCCCTAAAGAGGGAACTGGGAGAAAGTACAATAAAACCAAAGTACCATTTTTTTTTGCATAAAACAAAATAAAATAAATTCTCTGAAAGGACAAATTAGTATCTACCCAAAATACAATACTTTGTATCTGCAATATTATTCATTTACTAGTGTTCATTTAAAAACTACATGTAGCTTGAATTATTGGTTAACACTGGGTATCATCGACAGCAAATTCTGATTTATTTTTTGGTACCGGGGATCAAACTTGGGACCTTGTGCTTGCCAGACAGGCGCTTGTACTGCAGATCTATATCCCCAGCCTGATTTTGCTTTTCAATGCTGGACTTGAATCTGAGGCCTTCATAAAATATTTACCACCACATTTTTTTTGAAACCCAGCGTGCGTTGCTAAGTTGCCCGGGCTGAACTCGAGCTTGGATCTTCCCACATCAGCCTCCCAGAGTGCTGACGTAACAGGCATAGGTCACCATGCCCTGCTCTAATTCTGACTTTTCCAACGTGGTACAAAGATGGAAGGTTTAAGTTTTTATCATCAATGTGGTTACTTTATATAATTCCCTGGAAATACATTCAATTAGTCTTTAAGTAGTTCATGATGAGAAAATAAGCAATTTTTCGAACAATTTTACCTGTTCCTGTCATGTCACTGTCAGTCGTGGCCGGCAGGGCCTTTGGTTTAGCTGTGGCTTCATCTTGTTCATCAAGGCTGGCACCTTCAATAGAGTCCAGCGAGTCAAGCAGCACAACTGGTAGAATATACAAGAAGTACAGGGAATGAAGAAAAGTGGTGATTCTTTTGATCTAATATTTTTATTTAAATGATGTATAAAAATGTTTCTTAGAAATGGCATGTCACATGTATGAGTTTATGTGTCCAACAAATCTGATTTCCTTCATATATGTAAGAGTTGGCTAACACCCACAGATACACCTATGGTACATCTGTAATCATATGTAGTTCTAACATACATTTGTACTTGGATGGCAAAGAGACTGAGAAAAAGGACAAAGAAGAAATACTGTCAAATATCACAGGATGAATTCAAAACAAGCACAAAGGACACTCTACTGAGAAGCTCCGAACTTTAATTCCTTACAGAGATTTAACAACAAGGACAGGGGCCAGGGAGATAGCTCAGTAGATTAAGCACCTGCCTGGCAAGCGCAAGGGCCTGAGTTCAATCCCCGGTTCCACAAACAAACAACACAACAAAACAAGGACAGTGATTTACTCAGAACTATTTAGATGAGACTTAAACAGGTGAATATTCTGCCAACTAAAATATGAAAATATGTAATATTTACCATTCGCCAGCATGCCAGTTTTTTCTTCCACCTAAAAAAAAGAGAAAAAAGATCCCTCACATGTTTGAAGCCAAAATGATGTTTTGTTACACAATGTGAAATAGTCACAAGTTTGAAAAGCAGTGATTCCTCCAAAGACTGGGACTGTGCCTCCCAGGTTTCCTTCACTACTCGCATTCATCAGTAATCCTTCCAACCTAGAGAAACTGTAGTCTCTCCCGAACTTTGGCAATTACCAGAATCACTTTACTATAAAAAAGACTTGCTTAAAATACATAAGTGCCATCTACTCCCTGTCTTGCTCAAAAATTCTCCAATCATTTTGAACATCAAGAGAGGAGGGCTACTTCACACAAGACTCCAAATTACAGTATTTCCCTTGTTGTTCAGAAGTAATGACCAAATATATGCACACTGTACTCTGTTTCATCTATCCTTTGGAAGAGGTAACTCTGAAAGAGAATCCACCACCATGTAAGTCCTCCAATATTACAGGTTGCCTTAGGATAGGATCGCCTTTATTTCTCAGTGGGCTAGGAGTGTGTAGGCTCTTACCAGACAGCTCTCCCCAAGGCTTCCACATTTCGAGTGGCACATTTTTGTGCAGGCTATGCTTTCTTAATCTATCCTGTTAGCAAATGAGCAACAGCTCTTAAAAAGTCTTAGTTAGAAATGAGAAATGAGAGAAATCACATGTAAGTAGAATGATGAAATTGTTCATTTTAGGTTAAGTTTCAGGTAACAACATAATCACTAGCCTAAATACAAAGAGGGTATTTGCTATAGCTCACAAGGACAAGTCCTACCAAAGTATAAATATAATGATTTTAAAATTTTAATTATTTTCCATTTCTAAAACTGAACTTTAGGAAATTACCTGGCAAAAATATTCTCTTATAAAATCATTGACGCCCGATTTTTCCTTTAAGTATTTTAAATAACTTAAGAAAATATTTAATTGAGCACAAAGAAACATATATTTACAATAATGAGCTAGATATAATGAATTCTGTATTTTAAGCTCTTCTTATGGAAACACTGAAGTTGAAGAAAGAAGCTGAAAAACTGTCAAAGGTAAAATTGGTGTTTACCTGTTTGGGTCTACTTACTTCTGACTGAGGATTTTCTTTGGAACGAGTTTCTTCTTCATCTTTAATAATCAAACTGGTGTCAATATCCTCTGCATCTTCAAAGTCATCACTGTAATTTTCTGAAAGAAATAATTTTAAAAAATAAAAGAGGGCTGAGGAGATAGCTCAGAGGCATACGCACCTGCCTGGAAAGCACAAGGTCCTGAGTTCCAACCTTGGTACCAAAAACATAAAAAAAAAATTTAAAAAGTAAAAGAATCACACCGCCAAAAAGAGTTAAATTCCAGGAAACCACTAATTTGCAATGGCACAAGTCAGCGTAAAAATAATTTATTGACATTAACATAAAGAAATATTTACATTTTCAGCTATCATGTTTTGAAAAAAAATTAAATGTTCAGTTTGACTATCAAGATTATTTCATTTTTTATACTTTCAGAGAATTCTACAAGCTTTGTAGTTTTAATCTTTTATATTACTCAACTAAAAGTTTCTAGAGCTGTCTAACATATTTTACCTTTCAAGTAAGCCTTTAAAATCAATTTTTTCAAAACATTAATCTCCAACTGCTTACTTAAAAAAAGCACTTTTGAGAAATTCTGATATTCTCAAAAGGACTGTATTTAAGTTGATTTTTTGTTCTCTTCAGGAATCCTCTTCTGTAAGTTTCAGTGGCACTTTTGAAAGATTTTGATCTGTCAGTTAAGTAAAAATATTGGTGTCATGTATCCTTTGCTGTTTCACAAATTCTGACATTTTTGACTGAGATCTCTAAATTAGATCTCAAGGGCTTTGTATCAGAAAGAAAGCTATTTCCATGTGAAATGATTCCACCAGTCTACTCAAGGGGAGGGTGGGACAGGGTATTCGGGCCTCATCTCTCCATCAATTTTTAAGCAGTTTATAGCTCTTACATTACAGGACTGGTAGAGATTTGTGGGAGAACAACCTTTTCAGAGCAGCACTGGAACAAATACTCTAACGGGTATTTTTATAAATTACACCACACTGAGAAACAGGATTGAGGGGAAACAGACTGCATGGAGACCAAAATGTCTTCTTTGGCAATGTCTTACAGTGGTCGCTCACTTATCGCAGAGGTTACGTTCCACACACCCCTGTGACAAGTAAAAATCAGGTAAGTTATATTTGTTTTAGTCTTTATATATATTTAAGGCTTTGTAAACCTTTCCTCCTTTCCTACACTCTTATAAACCTTTTCTACACTTTAAAAAACACTTCTAATGCTCTTAACCATTTTCTAAACTTGCAAACCTATGTAATTTTATAGCATATGCACACTGTATGGTACTGCAAAATCCTGCAACACAGGGAAAAGTCCACAATAAATACTTTAGATTAATATTTTTTGAAAATCGGCAAGAGTCCATGAAAGCTGAACTGTGAAATAGCAAGGGACCACTTTACTTTTTAATTGGATGTAATTAATATGTTAAGTCTATAAATGAATTTTGGGAGCCATACAAGTTAAAATAAGGATGATGCAAGTAAGATGTGCCTACAGAGACAGCTTTATTTTAATTCATTACATGTATAAGTTTGGAACAGCATGGGTATTGACGTGTAGGCAGACAAAGTAAATTACCTGGTTAAATATAACAATATCTATATTCTATGATTGACTTTTTCCCCCTGCATGAGAACACTTATTTGGGATTTTCTAAATATCAGTGGACATAATCAAATTTGCAAAACTGTAATAAGCTAATACTTAAAATGGCACTTTATATTAGACGCACTGTAAGGTGACAGATTCAACATAAAGTAATTAACTTGTCATATTCCAGGTGGGGATAACCTCAAATACTAGAGCCAAGGGAAGAAAGATGAACAAGGAGTAGTCATGGGAGAACAGGACACTGAACTCGGATTCTGGAACTGATGGGATGGGGTCCAGTATATGTGCGACTGGGCAGAGCAGCGTAAGAAACAGTTCAGGCAGCGTAGTGCTTAACAACGTGACCTGGAGCCAGAAGGCCGGGATTCAGTTCTCTGCTTTCCTGAACTGAGGGCAAGTCATAAACTTTCTTGGCCTTGCTCCTTCTATCTGTAAAGTAGGGATGATAACACTCATTTCAAATGGCTGCTGAGATTGAGAGTTGAAGTGTTTGAGACAGCTGATATGCACTACACAGATACTTAATAGCCTAGTTACTGCTGCTAGTATGATTATAACTAGTCTTGCTCTCAGCTGATGTTCCTTCTTTTTTGTGTAGCTGTGAGGATAGAAGCCAGGGCCTCAGGCACGCTAGGCAGACACTTATCACTGAGTTATACCTACAAGCCATCCGAATATTATTTCTGATTGGGAAAACTGCTAATCTAATGTGCAATATTTCAAATTATACTTCAATATTTTCATGTAGTCACTGGTCAGCCCATAAGCAAATCCCATAGATTTGGGTTGCTTATGATACAACCTCCTCCCTGGGAACGTGTCGTGAATAAAGCAGATTGGAAGCAGTAAGAAAATGCCATTGGCAGACCCTGAGCGTAATGGTAGGGGCAAGAAATAAAGGAAAACTGTCAGAGATTTTTATAAACAACCATTAAAACAAATTTAGTTTATATAAAAGTGAAAGTAGGGGCTAGGAAGATAGCTTAGCTCCATGAGCACCTGCCTGGCAAGTACAAGTCTGATCCCTAGCACAAAAAAAAAAAAAAAAACCAAAAAAGCGAAAGTGAAACCTGAGGCGATTTTTATATTTGAAATGTGGCAGTGGAGAGCGAGGCTATACCCCTTTGTTTGCAAAAAGTGAGAAGTAAACTTGTAGCATTCTGACCTTTTTGGCAGAGAGGCACTGTATAATTCAAACTTCTACTCTTATGACTTTGAAATATTATTTGTATAAGCAAAATATTCCTTAAATATAGAGAAAGTAAAGCATATTCAATGCAAAAGATCTGAAAGTGCTTTTTTGGAAACAGTTTTCATCCTTTGCTGGCCAATTTCGCTGCAGACTAGGTATAATGCAACCTAGAGAACTTTCTTCTAGCCTGTTGGAGTTAAGGGAACTGTACTTAACTTCTATAAACAGTAAATTTGACAAAATATATGAAGAAACTGTATTCAGACTCTGGACAACTGATTTCCATTCTGCAGTCCTAGGAAGGAGGTGGAGGACAGCGTCACTGAGTGGAGGAGATGGGGTTCAGGGAGAATGGGGCGACCACAAGCTCTAGGGTAGTAATCCAGAGAAACACACATACAGCAGAACCTGCATGGGGTGCTTTTCTCCTCAGGGGAGCGTGAGTGAATGCTGACACGCTGTTTGAGCCAAGAACGACAGGGGAAGCTGCAGGCTGGACAGTTCCCACAGCTCACACGGGACAGGGAGACTTTGAAACTCTTATCTGCTTGGGCAGTGAAAACCTGTCACTAGAAGCACGCAACAGAAAGCTTATGAGGGAAGTGCCTCAGTAGGGGGGTTAAGTGATACCTACAGTGGCTATTCTAGATGTGACCTAACAAACATAAGAAAAACCTTAAGAGGATCAATTATCGATGAGAACAAAGCTCAACATTTTCAAAAGCAAATAAAATTCAGAAGACTCAACTATTAAATATTCACAATATCCAATGAAACAGGAAGAGCAAAAGGAATTAGTCAACACCTTGCAGTAAGTTATCAATGTTAATGGCCTTAACTCTCCAATTAAAAGACACAGATTGGTGGAATCGATCAAAAACTTAATTCTGTGTAAGTCTGCTGCATTCAAGAAACTCACCTACCCACCCAGGTGGAGTGGGCCTGCTGGGCCCTGCTGGCTGCCTGTCCTGTGGCTCCTTCCCAGGAGGCCCGCCACATGGAGTGGGTCATGCAAGTATATAACAGGATGACTAAGATGACTGTACTCAATTTCCACCAGTTTTTTGAAAATAGCCATTAATGTTTAAGATTTTCACCTTGACTAACTCTGTAAACTGATATCTGTAATCTGGGCAGCAACATAAAGGATAGTAATGTGCAATACAAGACCCATGGTTGAATATTTGTCATAAGTGTGTACCATCTCTAATGTCTTATCAATTATTACACTCTCTTTAAAATAAGGTAAAACAAAAAAAAGTTTTCTTGAAAGCAAAGATTTGAAAGCAAGCATCAATATTTATTTCTCCAATCTTGCATAACTGTATCTGTTAATCTGAGCAACAGATCTGATGATAAAAATAGATAATATAACAATCATTGTTAACTAGCTATTCCTGTTTTGAAAATCTGTAATGTATGTATCACTGTTACTTTTTTTTTGAATGATCAAAGATGTCTTTATTTGAAGTTTTTCATGACTTCATTTTAAATACACAGAAAAAATAGTGTCAGTTCATTCATGAGATACCAACCAAATTTTCCTTATACTGTCTCAAAATTTAAAGATAAATTTCCCCAGAGGGTGTACATTGCATCATAAAATGGTCTTTTTTGAGGGGGCATGGGGAAGGACTGGGCAGGATGGTGTATTAAATTGTACCATGATAGAAATGCAGGATTGTCAGCCAACCTTTAGAACTTGCACACATTTTGATGACTTAGAAAAACAAAGCAATCAATGCCGACAAGCCTAAAAAGCCTGATATATTTAACACACTTAGGAACTTTTGGTGTGGCAGGAATGCTCTAATTGCACCATGTGGAACTTCTGAAAGAGACAGAGGCCGGTTCTGGGAAGTTTGGGCTGACCAGCACACACCAGCCCAACAGAACACAAGCTGGGCCAAACTGAGGGGGCACCTCAACTTAACACAGAGGAAAAGCATGTCAGTGCAAAACGGGGGGCTGAACTGCTTGCAGGAAGTCTTTAAAATTGATACAGGCTGGAAAAGGTAATTTCCCTTCCTTATTTGGAGTCCTCTCATGTTAAGGCAGAACCCACTAACTGTAACTGCTGCAGTTAAAAATATTTTTTGCTTATTTTTCTCCCCAAGTTCAACCGCTGTTGAATTCGTTTGGCATAACTCTGTGCCATGGAGTTAATGACAGGCAGGATAAAGTAACACACCATCACCATCACCATCTTCTCAAAAAGCCGGGACAGCCAGTTTTCTTCCTGGGGTGCACCAGCTTTGCTCTTGTGGCGTAGCTTCTGCCGCTGGGCCTTGAGGTATCCCTGGAAGGGCTTCTGCAGAGGCAGACCTATGCCAGGGACAGCACCAATGAAAGCCACCATCTGCTCCACAACGTGCTTGCTGAATGTTATAACAACAAAGATTTTCTGGACAGGCATTTTAATTACTGCTTTTCCAATCAGGGTTGTACCAAAGAAGGTCCAAAAAGGTGCAAGAAAATGTCCACATGTTATTTCAGGAAGATCAAATACAGGATTTGGAATAGAAGCATAGGCCAATATTCAAAAAAAATCTAACATTCTGTATGAGTCTTTGAACTGCCATCTTAGCTTGTGAGGGAAAGTCCTGTGCAGACTCTGCATGTCCCAGCATTTCTTCAAATTCGTGGTACTCTTCACCTTCTGGCTCAGCACCTGAGAGGTGAGCTGCTCTGCCATGAAATATGGAGGCTGCTCTCCGATAGCTGTACCAATAGCCCACATACAGGCCTCAATCCTAATCTCCGAGATGATGCTCCACAAGGAAATGCTCCTGGAGTGCCCTCTTCATCTGGACAGATAATCTGGTCAGGATAGGGTGGCTCAGGGAAATTCATTGAGTTACATTCATAAGCAGCTAATGTAATTGAAGTTATGTGTGGGCCCAGATAAAGCAGAAAGGTGTGCAGCCCTGTGCCAAGCCCCACAGAAGACAAAATTCCCAAGCCTGTCCAGTAGGCATACCGAAGAAATTGTGTCTCCATACGCTGAACATACTGTGGATGTGCTCCTTCAACGTAATACGTAGTTACAAGCGCTGCAAGCAGCAGTAAAAAAGCACAATGCTTTGACGATGCCACAATTTTGAGGTCCATTCCTTTAAGATTGTAAGGATTTCCAGAGAAAAATACTGCAAGGTAACGATTGGCTGTCTCCACAAGACAATATTCTGTCTTTCTTCCTGATCTTTCCTTTTTTTCATTTATTGAGGAGGAGTCTGTGAAATTTCCGTTGTGTTGTTCCTTGCTCATTGCTAAATGTCTCTGGTCACAACTGTTTCCACTTTCTGCCATTTCACTGATTAATAACTCTTGAGGAGTTGGTCACCAAACTCGGAAGCTTCGACATTCCTGACTTCTCTTTTCCTTACCACTCATCCAATCTAGCACCAAATCCCGCTTCAACCCTGGCTTGGCTCCCGACCGACTCTGACACCTGCTGCTCTCTGTCTTTTTTCCCATTTGTTTTTCCTCCTCAAAATGAAATTAAATCAAAAGGATGGAAAAGACAAATAAACAAACATTTCATGCACCAGGACTCTGAAAACAAGCAGAAGTAGCAATTTTAATTTCAGAAAAAGTAAATCTGAAACTAAATCTGGTAAAAGAAAAAGAAGGCCACTAAACACTAGCTAAGGAAATAATCCAATAAGAAGAGATAACACTAGCGAATATTTATGCACTGAATACTGCAGCAGCTATCATCATAAAACAAATACACTGGACACAAAAGAACAAATAAATACTAACACAGTCATAGAGGTAGATCTTAACACCCTGCTCTCACAATGAGGCAGATTAGTTAACTAAATAAAAAAATCAACTAAAATATCAGAGCTGACCCACCCTCATGAACATATGGACTTAATAGATATCTACAGTGTTCTATCCCACTATAGTTTATATTATTGCAGCGCATGAAACCTTCTCTAAAGCAGGTCTCATACTACCCCAGTGTTAGGGCTTGTGTTTAGACTTCCTTCCAAAGCCTCATGCAGTCACAGGCTTGGCTGTTTTTTTTTTTTTTTTTTGAGGTGGCTGGGTGTAGAATGTGTGACTGACTCATGGTACAATGTTATGGGAGCTGGGATTAAGGGCAATTATCATTCAGCCCAGTGACTGGTTAGCAACTGCCCTAAACCTGTTAGCCTAGACAGAATATTGAAGGGGCAGAAAGAATCTGTTAGGAGTCCTTGGACTTGCTGCCTGCACCTGCCTACCTGCTGTGGACTATTTCTGCTCTGTGATGCCCCTCTGTCCTGGGAGCCAGCCAACTGTGGCTCTACAGAGTTTTGGCAAGTGGGAATGGATCCAGGAGATGAGCATAAGGGGAGGGTGACGAGAAGAGGAAATAAAATCATTTAAAATGTGTCAAATACCTGCAACTAATGTAGATATTATGTCATAAACATGAATTAAATAATGGGAACAAAAATAGGAAAACGGGATTTAGAGATGTAGGGAGAAGGGTGTTGGAGAGGGAATGGGATTAAAAAAGAATCAAGCTATGTTATGTTCATGCAACTATGCCCTAAGAGGAATGCAAATTCCATGGACTGCCAAGAAGTACTAATATAAAATTTAAAGCAATGTATTATGTACATGTACAAAAGTTCCCCACAAAGTTTGCAAGTATTATGTACTATAAACGTGCAGAAAAAAAAAAAAGGAATGCAATTTTATATAATGCAGGACAAATGCAGTAAAAAACAATGAAAAGATAGAAAGCGGTAAAGCAGTAACAACTCATACTAAAAACACATTTTTGTAAAAAGTAGAAACATCAATTAAGTCAGAGACAGCCACTGTACACCAAAACAGAAAACCTGGGAAGGAGTATGTCCCTCACAAGAAAATCACTTTAAGCATAAATGGTGCACACACAAAGTACGAAAGGCGTGGATCTGCTCACTGCTATGCTCTTGGCAGGCTTTGTCCTTGCTGAGATTTCCAGTCTTGGCACAAAAAGCCTTTCTCCTGTCTTTCCATCTGACCCACTGCCTGTGCTCATCAGAGGAGGCAGTAATTCACGTATGAGCATTAAACAGCAGCTCGATTACGACACAGGCAACACCAGTCTGCCAGTGCAGAGCTCTTTCTCAAATATTATAATATCTAAAACCAATGAAATTACCTGGCAGTTGTTCATGTTTTGATTCATTCTCATGTTCATCTTCCTTTAGTCCTATATTAGCTTCATAACTGCAAAAAAAAAATTTAGTTAACATAAAATTATGTCAAGCACTCTTGTTTTATCAGAACTAAAAGCTTGGGAACTGTACGAAAAATGTTTTAAAATAAAAGGATCCTCAAAGCCTAAGGTTAACTGTGGCTATACAACCAATTTTAAAAAATGCAACTTCAATTTCTGTACAAATACGGGCCATTAACATATACACATGTTTGTACATAACACGTTATTTTATGATCTGGAAATCACTTCTTCACTGAAGATAAAAGAATGGACCTCAAGTAAAGGCCACATGAAGATCAAGAAAATGCTATCTCTAGCACCTACATGTTGATACCCAATTTAACCTTGAAACAGAAGAAGTCTTAACAAGAAAAGCTCAAAAGCAGGACAAATGCACTTGAGCATGTTCTGATTATCAGTGCACATATGAAGGAGTCCATTCTCTTTTCCAGGCAATTAACTATGTCTTCAATGAAATCATGAGCAAATCTGACAAATTATAAGAATATAACAATGACAATAGCAACAAATAACTCGATGCGGTGCTGCACCCTATCTTGCAGCAAAAACAAAAATAGTCTAGGATATCAATGGGAAAAAGTTAAGGCATATTCAAAGAGACAAATCATGGCCCAAAAGCTTACACATGCTTAATCTGAGCTGTCACTGTTAAGGCCATGGCTACAGGCAGTGAGTGTCCCTGCACATTCTTTTTGAGTATCTCAATAATGCAGTGCCCTGACCATTTTCACTTAGGCTTTTCTCACTGTGATGTCAGTACGTAATCTTGAGCTGCGAAGTGATGTTTCCACTCCAAAAGCCAGCTATTTCCATTTATTATCTGTCTTACTTTTCTCTCATTGCTTGGACAAATACCCGACACTCAAATTGAGGGAAGGAAAGGTTTATTTATAGCTCAGTTACTAGAGGTTTCATAGTTTAAAACAGCCTGAATTGCACAGCAAGACCTTGGAGCTTTATTTGCTCCAGAGAGAGAGGGTCAGTGCCTCTGTCTTCTCCCAACATCTCTTCTCTGCCCAAGGAGGCCTCAATCGCAGATACCGCCACCCCTTTCTATAGGGTCTGGAGGACAGGCTGGGGCGCCACTGCATCTAGGATGACCCTCTCCACACCTCAGAGAAACCGCAGGCCTGGGAAGTGGGGTAGAGGGACAGAGCACATGCCGCCAGTTTAATGGTTAGCACCTCTCGGGCCCCACCTCCAAGCCCTGGTCCCCTGGCCCCGCCCCTCAGGCCACTGGCTGCTTCTCCAGCCATGTCTGCCCCATGACTTATGTGAGGCTTTGGGGGGGACACAACTAGACACAAACCATAACACCACCTAAGCCAGAACAGACTCCCCAAGCTCAGCATTCCTCTCCTGTAATACAGCCCACTGCATGTGCAGACATCCGCTGCAGATCCTTTGCCTTGCCCTGGCTGACCACACGGCTACAGGAACCAGTGCAGACAAATATGGCACAGGGTGAAATACGCAGTGACAAATAAGGCCCCCTGCTTCGGACCGAGGAATGTCTTACTTACTGTTGGAATCTAAAAAACGAGAAGGCTAATTTGTCTGTTTGTAAGCAGGGTATCTATATTGGACCCGGAGCATTTTTATGCTGTAAGTGGAGTGTTTTATCTATTATCTTTAAGAAAATAATCCTGCGGAGACTAGATACCAGCAGTTACACTTCTCATTCTCAATTGTACTTCTGTATTCTCAAAAGTCTGCAATAAAATCATGACCTGTTTTCCTCTTATAAGGAAACAATTACTCAGATGACCAAGTGAGAACATTACAGACCTGAGGTACAACAAAGGACTTGAGAATGGCTACGGCCTTGTGTTCCTGGAGACGACCAGGTCAGTAACTGGCACGATCGCTAGGATTAACGAGATGATCTGGTAACCAATGTGCCAACTGTATGCGGGGGTCAGACTTTTAACTTTGCCTTCTGTTCTCTTTTTCTAATTTTTCTTGAGTTTCCAATAGTAACCTGGGCTCCCCTATTTTACTTTGTGAACGATCACTTAATTCCTTCCTCAGTAAAGGACTTTATAATGTACTAACAGTCTCAACAGAATCTTATGCATGAAATTTCAGGTGTTTATAGGCAGTGTGGGCTTTCACGCTACAAATCAAGATGCTGTGTTCATACTTAAGAAAGGCCCTGATCATAATAAAGAACAGAACAAAGTTAACTTTGTCCGTTAAGTTTTTCTACAAGTCAATGTATATATCAGCCCTGCAAATATACAGGAAAAACACAGAAGTCAGTTAATAGCCTATATTGTATTTACTTTACCTGTTGAAACCTTTAAAATGTGTAGAGTCATTGGAATCCAATTCTTTATTTAACTTTGAATAATCAATAGAAGATGTCAAGCCTTTCTCAAGCCTGGCAAAAAACTGCTCTTTCTCTTCTTGTTCTTCTAATGTGTCCAATCCCAACCCGAGAACACTGTGACTGAGCTCAGGAATCAATGGTTCTAAACAGAAAGCATAAATACATGTTACTGATATACAGAATTTTGATACAATTGAAATAATAAATTTATCAATATTATATAGTAATATGAAGATTTTTACAAATAATTTACCCAGTCTCTTATCTACCAAATAATACTATACTCAAAATCAACATTACAGAATTTAAGGCTTCTTCAGAGCTATAATTCTAAACATCTGAGAAGATACTAAATCCGTTTACACGATTCAGTAAAACAGGCTATAAAAATTATGAATATGAGCACCTTAATAATTTATTCACTCATATTCTTCACATTCTTACCGCTGGTCTCCAAGCTGTCCACACTTAAGATAGAGGTTCCACTGCTCTTGAGAAGCTGAGACTTTTCAGCAGACTCTTCTACTTCCACCACTGGGCGAGAAGCCTTTCTTTTTAAATAGCTTACGTTTGTTCCAAGCAGTCCTAAGAATAAGATTTAACATGGTTGGATATTTATGATCAGAACTGTTTTGATCAATACACTAACATGGTAATACTAGTATATTAAATTGTGCACAGTAGCTACAAAATAAATCCATTAATTAAAAATCCATCATACATAGAATTCATGATACAATTCCACTTGATTATACTGTATCTTCTATAAATGGAGTATTTCAATAATTTACATAAGATTTTTTAAAAATTGGAAGCATAAATGCTTAACATGGTTTGCCACATTGCTCTTCTTCTACCTTACTTCCTCTTTAGTTACATAGTTTTTGTTGACTTGTATAACTTAGAAATACAACAGCATGAAGCAACTGGACAACACACAAAAGGTAAAGCAGGTGTAAGTATGGACAGGTACGGGGGCTTAACAAGATCTTTCATCATTGTAAATAGCACTTTAAAGACGGAAATGTTTAAAACAAGTTTTTAAAGTCATTTATTTCTACAACCTAGAAACGCTGGTTTCCTACAAGAGCCTCAACGTGGCAGGTGTGTCTTGCTGAAGCAGGGAAGGCTGGTGTAACCTCTCACAGCAGTTAGAAATGTGAAATTTTCTCAAAAGCTAACTATTATTATCATTGTTTCTTGTATAATGTTTTCCTAAATAGGGACTCTATTTTAAAAGGTATTTGGGAATATTTGTGGTAAAAAACGATACAGTGCTAGAGATTTGTTTGAATACACTCAATGAGGTGGAGAGGGGATATACACGAAACATGACTGGCCTTAAGTTACTTATTATAGGAAGGCAATGGGGGTATTACACTTTCTTTATGAATAGTTCACAAAATATTTTCTTGAATAAAGTATTAAAAACGTTCCATGAATTCTAGGCCAAACTTGTAATTTGTATTTACATGGTTTTTAAATATTATCTATTCTATTCTGATTTGATAAATTGTTTCTCTTGAACAACCACACATGGAGGGCCCTTACCATTATGAAACTAAAAGTTTGAAGAAGCAGACTATTAACAAATATTTACGGGTGCCCACATATATTAGATGTTGTTTTAAATGCTGGGGCCTTATCAATAAATAAAATAGACAAAAAAATCTTCACGCTTGTGAAGGTTACATTTATGTAGTTAGACAGGCAAAAGTAAAAGAAGTAAGTACAATTAAATTCCACATTAGAAAATGGCAGGTGCAAAGAAAGAAACTTAAAGGAAGAGGGAATGTAGGAGTAAGGACACCGCACACTGAATAGGGCAGCAAGGAATGCCTCAAAGGGTAAGTTAACATTTGAACTAAGACTTGATGGAGACAAGGGGCCAGGCCACAGCAGCACTTAGAGGAAGAGTTTTGAAATGAAAGGAGCCATGTAGAAAGCCTCTACACCAGAAGGCTGGGGGTTACAATGGAATGAGCAAGGGGAGGTTGAGAGCTCAGAGGAGTCACAGTGCAGGGCTAGGATTATAGCTCGCTGGTCACTGGATTCATAGTGACATGAAAAGCAATTAGAGGCTGTGTGTGGGGGTGCATACCTGTAATCCCAGAACTTGGGAGGCTAAGGCAGGAGGACTGCCAAGGAGTTCAAGGCCAGCCTGGGCTACATTGTGAGTTCAAAGCCAGCCTGGACTACACGGTGAAACCTCTATCTCAAAGAAAGAAACAAAGACCAAACAAAAGATATTAGAGAAACTAGGTGGTGAATATTATGGATGACCAGATTTTTGGTCTAAAGAAGTTCAAGGAACTCAAAAGCCAGAGTATTGCAAAGATTAACTATGTGCTTAATAAAGCCAACCAGAATTAGACAGGAGAACTGGATGGCAAAAAAGGAGCTAGAGTCATTGAAGAGTAAAGAAAAACTTGGACATCAACAGACAACTGCAGCAATAAGTAGTGATGCTTCACAAGACTGAAGGGAGAAAGATCTAGAAGCAGCAATTAAGAACAAAGCACCTTTTTTTTTTTTTTCTAGGTCTAATGGAAGATGAAAAAAAAAAAATCAGTATACACTGGAAATTACTAGGAAGCATCAGGGCCTACAGAGGAGAATTTTAAGGAGTAAAAGATAACCAGGCCAAAGGGCTGGCCAAATAGCTCAGCGGAGGGGCCCGGGGTTCAATCCCCGGGACCTGCAGTGCCGCCCCACCCCCAGGGCACGCTGACATGGAAGCTGAGACTGGGCATGGTGGCGCGTGTCTGTAATCCTAGCACTAGGGAGGCTGCAAACAAGAGAATCACAAGTCTGATCTAGCAGTGAGACCCTGAATACCCTGTAGATCCAACCCTAAAAAAACAAAAACCCAAGATAAACAGGCCAACTGGGAACAGGAAACAAGCACAGGAGGGGAAAATACAAGCACAAGGACTTACTAACACTGATAGCAGCAGGCCGCAGCTGGGGATGCAGAAAGATGAGTTGTGCTGGACCGAGAGGGTGCATGTGGGAGAAAATCAGCTTAGGGCTAGAGGTCAGTGATCACAGCATGCTCACGCTCAGGAGCCAGGGGAAAGCTCTGCTCTTTATTCCACGAGCAAAAGTACAGCAGGTCACACAGTATTCAAACCTCTTTAACAGCACAGCAGCCCTGTTACCTGTGGGCTGCGCCTCTGTGGTGGAGCCTGTAATCCCAGCACTCTGGGAGGCCAAGGAAGGAGGAAAGGCACTATAATGGAGAAAGCACGGAAACGGCACAGAGAAATGGGAGTGAAAGTGTTCCTAGGATACATGGGATAACTGAGCATGGAAGCAATGTGTGAGGTAGAAAGGGAGGGGTCCAGCAGACTACTCAGGGCTCAACGGTCACATTAAGAAATTCACTCAAGTTTTTAGCAGTAATAGGGACTGAGCCCAGGGTCTTCACTTATATCCCTAGAACACTCTCCCTCTTCCACCTTTAAATTTTATTTTGAGGTGGAGTCTCACTAAATCACTAAGGTCCTCACACTGGGCTTGAACTTATGATCGTTCTGCTTCAGCCTCCCACAGTCCCTGGATTACGGGCATGTGCCATCACACCCAGCTTCAGACTTCATCTTATGTTATTAAAAAAAGGCCACAGGTGACTTTACCCCTGTTGAAGAGATATGAAAATTCTATCGGTTCAGAAAATGGTGCTTGACACTGATCCACATACACTGCAAACATAGGTAGTTAAACAGAAGTAGTCTGGTTCTTCAGACATGGCAGTATTGTATATAATCCAGATACCGTCTATAGCACCGTACATGCTATACACTGTCATAGACGGTATTACGGAATGCATACTTACTAAAAGCAAGTGTAAAAACACATTCAAAGTAATTTTGCATTTATGAAGATGTAACTGGTGTATTCCAGAAAGATATAAATGTGCCAGAGACGTTCAATAATGAGTTCTTTACGATATAAATGTGCCAGATGTTCAACCAATGAGTTCTTTACTTTTGCCGTTAAGAAAATAATCTACTTTTAATGGCGTTAATGTAGTACCAAAATCGGCAGATTTTTATTCATTTTTTATTTTTTTTATGTATTTAGTACAGGGTCTACACGGTCTCACTACGTAGGTCGGATTCCTAGTGATCCTCCTGTTACAGCCTCCCAAGTGCTGGGATTACAGGTGTGCACCACCATACCTGGTCTCAATGGCTGTCTCAGCATGGCCCAGGGGTGGGGTCGGCATGGTAGGCCCAGAGATCAAACCTCAGACCCCTTCGTCTGCCTAAGCCCGCGCTGTAACCTGCTGAGCTATTTGGCCAGTCCCCAACAGATTTTTAAAAACCATCTCCCCACATGGGTTTCTGTTAAAGCACTGCCAAAATTTTATTAAATCAACTTACCATTAAATATATAAACATATTATTCATTACCTTAATATGAACAAATCTAAACAATCTCAATATAAAATAATTCGATGTAAAAGAACTTCAATTACATAACGGATACATAGTAAAGTACTATAATATGGAAATCAAATCAAACTTCAAGAATCTACACTACTAGATATATATACACTACTATTTACAGACATAAAAAAATATAATCAATCCAGAATTGTAAGACTTGACTGACCCCTTGTGGTCAAATAAATTAAAACTAACCACCAACAATATTTACCACCATCTTCAAAATCATCCTCAGTTAACCACCAAGGCACTGCCTCTTTCTTCTTTACTTGTTCTTTAGGTTGTCTGGGTGTTCTGTTTGACTTGCCAAAAGAATCATCTGAAAGCTAAATTAGACACAACGTATTGAATAAGTTACACTGTAAGGAATTTCAGATTTATCACAATCTGGAATAGTACTGCTCTATGAGATCTTTCAATGGTCAGTTATCACACAATATTTTCAGCCACAATGTATATATTCATTATCTCTAAGCATAGGCAGCCAAAGAACTTAAAACATCAAGCATGTGTCTTTGATCGCTGATTTCATATCCAGAATTAAAAGAGTAAGAACAAAAGGAAAACTCGATCAAGATACTTGTTTAGGAAAAGAAATAAGAAAGGCACAATCTTAGATATTGTCTAGGGTCTAAGAAAAGGGAGAGCTTATGCAAAGTACCTAGACTCATTCCAGAAGAATACAGAATTCCAAGACAAGCAAGAACTGAATTTCCGTGGGTGCAGAGGATGATGGCGTTGACTACAGATGTTACCGCTGTTACAATGATTAATAACCTTTTTGTCATCTACCCATCTGGTTCAAATTTTACGACACTTCAAAATCATCTACTCTTATCTTAATATTTTCCTCTTTTACTAGGGTGGCCTCCATCTGTACTGAAGCAAAAAAAGATCTCAGTAAAGTGCACCCCACTTCCCTCATTCCAACACTAAATTTATGTAAGGGACAATTCTTTCCTCTATCCTCAACAGAATCTGCAGAAAAGTCACTTCTCTCCAGGTTATTCCCTGGTTATCCCATTTCATTTCTGTACCTTCACTCTCATTGCTCTCTCCTCGGCCCCCTTCCTTCAAAACAGAAACCTGTTCAGCACTACAAGCCCAGCACCTCGCACAGCACTGGGCAAGTCTACTCTACTTTGAAAATAAGAGGATAAGTTTCTTATTACTGTTTCCCTTTTTCTCTATCATTTTCCTTTATAACAAATTCTTGAATACACTGCTCTGCTCTTTAGGATTTGGTTTCCACCAAACTGACTTTCTTTCAGATACTTATGCCTCCTACAAACCAAAAATAAAGGACAGCTGTCAGCCATTTTCCTGGGTCCTATCATGGAATCTCATTCTGGTGAGAAACTTACTTATTGAAACTCTCCTCAGCTTTACCAGCGACCCCTCCACTGTGGCCACTCCCATCCATGTTTCAATAGCTTGGGGCCATTTTGCTCATTTCTTCAGGATCAGACTGTGCTCCTGATTCTATTTTCATCTATTCTATATACTTTTTTTTCTAGAGACAAAATATGTATTTACATAGGCCTGACCTATGTCAGGATATGCACTTAGGTTATCACACTTCTAAAGCCTGTCTGAGGGGCCAGGGAGATGGCTCAGTAGAATAAGCGCTTCCCTGGCAAACGCAAGGGTCTGAGTTCAATCTCCAGTTCTGCAAAAAAAATAAATAAATAAATAAATAAATAAAGCCTGTCTGTTCTGTACTATACCATGCCCCCAAACTAGGATACTGTTACCAATAATTTCTAAGATGCCCACACAAACACTCCTACCTGCCAAACAAAAAACAGTGTATCTCAGTAACTTGCAAAAATGTCAATGCTAAAATGTTCAAAAAGACCTCATCATCTTCACTGACAACTACTTAGGAAGAGAGGAGAAAACATTTCATATGAATTTGTTAGCTAGTTGCATCATTTTCCACTTAAACTCTAAACGTTATTATTATTTTGAAATGTTCCCCTTCTTTCTCCTACTTGAATTTTTTTTCTGTTATTAATCTATAACACAGGCACAGGACCACTAATCTTGCAGGGCTTTAGAATGATTAGAAAAAAAAAAGAGTACCCACTTTATTTTTTAATATACTGTAAGTGCTCTTGCACTGAAAACCTTTCACATTGCTTACTATCACTGAAAACAAACAAGTCAGTCCTCAGTAACAGTGTTAGCCAGGTTATGGAGAAAATAGAACCTTAATAAAATAATACCTGGCTGCTGGGAATATAAATAGCACAGTCACTCTGGAAAAGTCTGGCAGTTCCTCAAAGGCTAAACTTGTCAAAAGAATTACCCTATGATCCAGCAATTATATGGGCAATTAAAACATACACTCACACAAAACGTGTACGTGACTATTCATAGCAGCATTAAAAATACTGCCAAAAAGTGGAAGGATCCCCTATGTCCAACTGACGAGTGATAAGCAAAATGTGGCACAGCCATGTGAAGTAATGTTTTCCAGACAGAAAAAGAAATGAAGTATGAATACAGGCTATAGTGTGGATGAACCCTGAGAACATTATGTTAAATAATATAAGACAGACCTTAATGGACATATGTAGAATAATGCTTTTCTACGAAATGTTCACAATAAGCAAATCTTTAGAGAACATCACATGAGGCTCAGGAACAGGAGAAGCTGGGTGTAACCACTACAGACACACCATTTCTTACTGAGGTGACAAAAATGTTCTAAAATAAGATTGTAGTGGTAATGGTTTGGTAAGTATAAAACCATCTAAACTACACATTTGTAGGAGGCAATTATATTTCATTAAAATGAATTTTAAAAAGCTGGTTAACTACTCTCCTAAAAACAAACACTTCTCAGAATGCCCTACGAGGCCACTCCATTCGCGTAACGTACACAGAATGGCATAGCCCTTTACTCATTCGGCAGATATTCACTAAGCATATTTGACAATAGGATGAGCTATCATGCCACAGATCATTCGTTCTTACAAAGTAGAAAACAGACCCACAAGGAAAATAATAAGTGGTGCTAAGTAGTATAAAAAAATTAAGTACATAGTCTACTAAGAAGTGACTGGCTTTCTTTTCACTGGGTCACCAGCAAAGTGTTTCTGAAGTACTAAAATTTAAAGTAAGATATTTACCAGTCAGATAAAAACATTAAGTTAACAAGAGCGTTGATGGAGGGGACAGGTACATAGACCTCACCAGGGGTGGCCATCCTGTGGCACACGTGCGGCTATTGCAGCTGGCTGTTACCACAGAAGGCTCTGAAAGGTTTGCCACCACTACTCTAAGGTGAAATAGCATGACATGGCTGGGGGAACAAAGGCCACTGTAGAATAATTAAAGTGTATAAAGAGAAAGAGTAATATAAACGCAGTAAAGTAGATAGGAGCAAAATAATGGCAGCCTTCCTAAGGAGACATGAGTTTGGATTTTGTTCCACATGTGACAGGAAGACACACGGTTTACATTGAGGATGAAGAGAGTCAGATGAAAAGAACAGCTCACCTGACTGGAGTGTGGTGAAGACCACTGGCTGGGAACAGTTAGTTGCAAGACGCCAGGGGAGAGGATGGCAGGTGGAGCAGCATTTGCAATGGAAGGGAATTAGAGACACAGTGGGCATATTATGGAGGTGGGGGTGACAGTTTGGTGATGGAATGACTGTATCTTAGAGGTAAGAGAATTGAAGGATGAATCTTCTGAGATAAACTTACAACACTGCGTTTAAAAGACATAAACTTACCTCCTTCATAAACTTTTCAAATTCTTCATCCAGCTCTTCTTTAGAGTAATGAGCCATTGTCAATAATTTTCACTTGCCAAAGCAAACATTCTAAAGCGGTTATTGCATTAAAAATTCTAAATGACAAAAGAAAATACACTTATTGAGAAAATGTTTCACATCATGAAAACTGCCAGACTTAAGCTTCAGAGACGGCATTGTCACTTATGCACGCACAATTATTACCAGAAACTGGTCAAGAGATTCCTAATTCAATAAGCAAACTGATCTGAAAAAGCAACTCCAAAGTTCACTTCCACTTGGGGTCCAGAATTACACTGTCCTGTGAACTAAGGGTGGACTCGACAATATTTCCTAAACTTACATTTGCACGTTACTTAGTACTTCCCTGACACAATCCGAGTTTTCAAAAAGAATTTTAAGATTATAAATGAACAAACTGAAAGAACCACATTTTTCTTCTACGCACCAGTTAATGCTGCCTGAATCAGCTAGTTTACATTTTCCATGGTAAGTTTTGCAAGATAGACTTCCAGATATAGACAGATTTAAGAGACTCACTAAAGAATTTTAGAAGTGTACAAATTAGCACTGGGGGGCGGGTAAGAAAACGGAAGCCAACAAAAACAAGGCCCTGAACACCCGAGGTAGAACCCGGTGGAGGGCAGCGCAAAGCCCTCCGCTTTCCCCCATAAAGCGCTAACTTCTCGAGTTGCGGTCCCCGAGGGTCCATGAACCGCAGCTTTCTTCGGCAGAGTCGGGCGGGCGGAGTGGGCCAGCGGCCCGGGGCGTACCTCCCCCAGCGTGCAGAACGACCCCGGCTCCCTCCGCCGGCCTTCCGGGTCAGGTCGGCGGGGGCGCCGCGGAGGTCTCGGCCCAGAGCTCGGTCGGAGGCGGAGCCCACCACGAGGCCCCACGCCTGCGGCGTCCGGGCTCCGGGAAGCGCGCACCTGGAGGCGGGCTTGCAGCGGAGTCCGCGCGGAGGGGGGACCGACCCGACAGCAACGCCTGAAGGCTCAACCTCGGCCTCTGGGGTCTAGACGGCTGACGGGCGCCCACGCCGCACCCGCCTCCGCCTCCGAATCCCGCGCTTTCCCGAAGGTCCGTGCGGGCCAGCAGTTGTCAGGGTGACAGACCACCGCGGCGGCGCTCCGGGGTCACATGACCCGGCCTGGTCACGTGGCTCGTGGGCGCGGCTGGGCAGCCATAGGTTGCCTTGGTTCTTTGCGAGCAAAGATTGGAACCGCCACCCTCAGCGTGATACCGCGGCCCTTTAGGCGTAGCCGCCTCACCAGCCTGTGCCTCCACGCTTTCCCTTACCGGTGGGACAAGTCTACGGCTGCGAACCGGTTCTGTAGAACCGCGGCGCGGGCGTGACGCTAGCGAGGCCCATGGCTTCCTGGGAGTTGTAGTTCAGCTTCCTCGGGGCTCGAACTCTAGTTCCGCCCTTCATCTCTCCTCTTACCAGTTTTATCCCAGCTCTTCAGCCTTTTTTATGATCGCTCAGTCTCCCAAGAATGTTTTCAACAATGTTACTGGATTTCCTTCACGTGCAAAACGCTGTGTGGGAACTGAGACAAAAACACAAACCTATTAGAGCTCACTTGCTAGAATTGGGACTCTGTTCCACCACCTAGTGGCCAAGAACCTGAAAATCTGCAAGCATCTAGACGCTTACAGCTGCATCGCTATGGTTTCCGCTAAACCACTTTTCAAAACCTCATTCTACGGTGTCAGTTTACAATTACGTTCTTGAATTTTTGCCACCTACTTACTTTGTAAAGAACACAGCATAATTAGAATTTCAGAAGACAGCATTTAGGGCGGTGAGAGTAAAACCCACAAGCTATGGAGGGGTTTGCTGCTTGTGGAGGGGAGGTAGTTATGATTTAAGATCCTAGCCCTAACTTGAGCTTTTCATTCAGTAAATGTTTACTGCAATGCAAATGTCTACAAATCAGGAGACGTGCCCTACTATAAAAACAGGAATGACAAGGTCATTTTAAGCTTCCACTTACTTAGCATTTGATGGGAGCATGCATTATTTAACACTTGCAATGTAAAGCCAATTTAAATGAATATATTTTTGTTTCTCCTATGTGTTAAAGGCACATACCAGTCATAGTCTCTGTCCTAATAGAATCTTCAGTCTAATGAAACAGACAGGCCAGAAAACTAGGGGGTACAGTAAAAAAAAAAAAATATAGTGGCACCTAATGTACTATGGACAAAGACAGTTTGAGACTTTCTACCTGAGGTACCACCTAATTTTAGTCTTACTTAATATACTGCTAAGCTATAAATTCGTGGGCATTAACATTTAGCCTTTTATGTTATTTACTAGTGAGCTTTGCTCCTACTGGATACAAAGACTATTTACTATCTACTAAGACTTTCCTGTTTTACATAAAGGTCTCCAGTCACAGGAACCTTCTTGTTCCATGAAAACTAGAAAAGCTGATTCACTGTGCCCTGCCCTTTTCTTCCTATCTCATCCCTTGACATCATACACTCATTATGCATGGTTGGTCTTGCTTCATAAATCATTTAAACAATAGTCATATGAGACTGGAATTTTTTCACTCTTTTGCTACTAAATCTATAAACGATATCTAGTCTGCCCTCATCGTAATCTATTACACGTTCCAATAGAGGAAGTGTACTGCTTTCTAAGAAATCTACTTTCCCACATATGACCTAGAGCTTTTACCTATTCTTCTCAATGATCTTACTCCATTAGTAATTTCTCCTTTTTATATCTTCAGCCTTTAGCTGTGGGTCAGTTTCTTCCGAATACCATTCAAACATGCTCTCAGATACATAATCTAAAATTTCCAGAACACTTTGTTGTGTACACATCCCTGTGATTGAAATGAATTTTCTTCTTGTCTGCCGGTCTTTTTCTGAGGAATTATTTCCACTCCATTTCCTTCTTATCAGGCATTTGAATCCAGCTTCTACTCACACCAATCTACTAAACCCATTCTTGGTAGCATCACCAATTTTTCTCCACTCAGCTAGATTAAAAGAAATGAAAAAAGGGCCTTTAGGACATCACCATGCTGGATCTTGATCTCCCAGTACTCCGATATAGTTGTGTCCTTTCCCTTTCTTCACTCTCTTCCCACTGTAATGGGCTCTTCTTGGGCTTTTTCACTGCTTCTCCATTCATTCTATCTGGCCTCTAAGTGTCACAATTTCTTAGGGCTCATTTCTGTATTCTTTTATCTTTTTTTACATTCTTATTGTAGATATTTTAGTCCTCTAAGTATTCCCATTTGTGGTCACTGATATTTACTTTTTTTACTAGTGAGCTTAAGACTCTCAAATATATGCATTCAGTTCTTAACTCTCTTTTTGTTTTATTCTTTTTTTTTTTGAGACAGGGCCTCACTTTGCAGGTCAGGCTGGCCTTGATCTTATGGTGGTCTCTTTGCCTCAGCCTCCTGGCCATGTGGCACTATGTATGGCTGTAACTTTCTTTTAAACAACAAAATTCAAAAAAGATGCCACCTGATGTCTAACAGGCATCTCTAACGCAGTGGAAGCCTTGCTTTTCTGCCAATTTCATTCTCTTTCAATACTTTGTATTGCAGTATGTAGTGCATACACTCATCCAGTCACTCAGTACAGACATCTGGGTGCTCTTGCATTCCTATACCTACTTTTGCGGATTGTCAATGCTGTCTGCAAAATATATCCCCACTGTGTTCACATTTCTACATCTTAATTGTTAATGCTGCAATTCAAGTCATTATATTCTCTTGTCTTAAGCACATCACTAGCCTACTCATTAGCCTTTCTGCATCTATGCTTGTCCTTTACCTCAATATCTCAATAAAAAGCTATTATTTGGAAGTTCAAATCAGTTACTCTCTTACTTAAATTTCTTCAGTGATTTCTCATTGTTCTTACACCAAAATCCAAACATCTATAAGGCCCGTATGGCAACCTTAGCGTCACTTAGCCTTGTAGCCACATCTCATTCCCAGTTGCCAAAGCTAACAGAATTATTTGCAGCTCAGCTGCAGAGTTTAGTTCTTTCTTCTCTAGAGGTTGTAATTTGAGCTTTTATACAAGGGGTATACAAAAGTATGGGGTGCTGAGGTGGAAGGATAACAGGTTCACACCAAGCACTGGCAACTTTGGGAGATCATGTCAAAATAAAAAATAAGGACTGAGGTGGTAGCTTAGTGTGAAAGCCCTGCATTCAATGCCCAGTACCACACAAAAAAGTACTTGTTGTTTTGTATTAATGTATAGCAAACAGGGTTCAAGAGATTGCCATATTGAATTGTAGTAGCAGATTCACAAAATTGTTGATATTCAATTGAATTGTTATATTTTTCTAAGAATAGTGGTCACTAAAGGAATAACTAGCATTTTGAGAGCTTATTCTTTGGCCTCTATTGCATTTTTATGTTATTCATTTTTTCTAACTACATTTTGAAGCTACTGCTCATTTTTTCTAACTACATTTTGAAGTAGATAATATCATCTGCATTAGGGAATTCAAGATTTAAATAATAAAGTTTATGTAACTAAGTGGCCTATCCAAGATTCCAACTCTGACCATATAACCCGTAATTTTAAGAACTTCACGATACTCTCATGATAAACTATCTCTAACTAAAATGTAAGTGAAATGGGTCAAGTAAATTGACTACTTTAGTAATGAAATCAATTATGTCCCTTTGGATAGGATCAAACATTTTTACTTTGAGAGTTCTTTATAATTTCTCATGTGCTTTGTGATGCCTGGGATGATATGAGATTTGATGGACAGTCTGTGTTTGTTCAGATCTCCAATGAGATAGGAGGACATGAGCAATAGCTTCATTGCATTTTCTCATAGCAAAGGGTACAGCGTGGGAATTTGGTCAACACTGACAACATGGTTGCAGTGCCAGGACCTGCAGCACCAACTGGAATGTAAACACAGGTTGTTTGGGGATTGAACTAATGAAATAAACAGAATTGGATTCAACCACACAATAGTCTAATTTAACCAAATCCTGCTTCTTTACCTCTTTTTCAGATGTGGGGATTTTCTCTATTGATGTAGATAATGCGAATGACACTGAAGGAATTGTGTTACTTTGGTCATAAGAAAATTAAATTTAGTGGCTTATATAGTTCTGGTTTTCATTTGTGATTATTATTGTTTACTTTTTGCCCATTTGTCCATATCCTGGTTGTTTTATTTTTAATTACTTTAAATTTTTCTCAGTTCTCTAACATATGAAACTTAGTAAAGATTTAGATGATGTTGCAGATTTTTTTCGAGAAAAAGAACTTTGCAAAATAGAATATTGAGAGATTGTGCAGTTGTCTCCATAACAGTTTATGTGTTTCTGAGGCATACACACATACTCTTTCCCTAGGCTATGGATAGCCAACACAAGGACGTGGATGTTGATTAGTAACAGGTTATGAAATTGTTTTTAAAACAAATCTCCAATAATCCAGTAAATAGGCACTGGGGAAAAGTCAGTGATGATAAAAGCTTGGCTTTGCATCTCAAAAGATAATTAACAGCATGGTTTCACATTTATTATTTAAGTGAAAAAACACAAAAATTGATAAATTGGTCATCTAACTAAATAAAAAGATATTGTTTTATGAAGGATCTTGTAAGAGGGGAAAAAGATAGGCTGACAATCAGGAGAAAATATTTGCAGAAGTGCTTCTGTCTAAAACACATGAAGAACTTTCAAATCTCTACTGCAGAGCTGGGGAGATAGCCCAGTGGTCTAAGTGCCTGCCTGGAAAGTACGAGGACCTGGGTTCAATCCCTGGTATTTCATGCTATTGGTCCTGCAGAGTGAGGTCCTGTACCAAATAAATAAATAATTAAAATACTCTATTGTAAAAAATATCAAACTATATATGATAAAATTCCGTACATCTACATACTCATGCGTGTGTATATATGAAAGCAAATATAAATTTATAAGATCTAAATAACCTCTACCGTTATCCCCAACTTTCTGTAAACCTATTTCTATTTAAAAATAAAAAGTAAAGAAATACTTGCAAAGCCCTATGATGGAGATCCTGTGTCTGTTTAATCAATAACAAAAAGTAGCCTTTGATGTTTGTCCATAACAATTATCCA